GGGAGTTGAAGTCCACGCATCTTAACGTTGCCAAGTTTGAAAAACACTGCTCTAGGCCCACATAGAAAGCTATGTGCTCCTCACTTCCTTTTCTGGGGGCTGGAAAGCAACGAAAAGGCACTCTCTGTGTGGGTCCGTGTGTGTGTGCGGTTGTTGCAGCGGAGAATTGTGCCCCTTTCAGAGGAACAGAAGCAAAACGCTCCACGGAGCTGAGGAGAGGCGTCATCCCACACAAGGCAACCAGGGGTTTCAATAAGCCGCAGCGGGGAAGTGGCTAATCCCCACCCCGACTGTGGGGAACAGAGGCGTCAAGGAAGAGGAGGCTGCTGGGCTTCTCGGGCTGCAAACTTGCAAAGAAGGACTTGTGGAACCGTAAGCCGTTTGAACAGCCTCACTGTGGCTATGAAGAGGGGAAACTGCTCAAGGGGGAGGGTGGTACTCGGCGCTTCAACACGAATGTCTTGATTAGGGGGTGGGTTGAAAAAGGAAAAAGAAGGTCTTGCGCACAGCCCGGAATTCTTTCGAAGGCATCAGAAGCCGGGTGGGGTGGAGGGTGAGGCCGGCTCGCTCTCCAGGCCAGCTCCCAGCTCTGCATACCTTCAACGCGTGCCTTCCCGCCTCCGGTCCTCCCTCGGCAGCTTGCAAGCTGGACAGCTGGAGTCCAGAATGAGCTTTCTCCGCCGGGGCTCCCACGCAGGGCTACTTGAAGACCGGGGCTCTCTTAATTCCGTTCCCATCCTTTATTTCTTCCCATGTTCCTTCAACTTTTCTTCATTCCTTTCTTCCAAACCAGGGAGGGTTGGTCTCCAGCCGCCATTGGGACTCTTCACCTCTAGGCTGGTCTCCTCCTGGCCCTTTTGCTTTCAATTGCTTCTCTTCTCTTCTCTTCTCTTCTCTTCTCTTCTCTTCTCTTCTCTTCTCTTCTCTTCTCTTCTCTTCTCTCTTCTCTCTTCTCCCTCCCCTCCTCCTTCCACAAAGCCAGCTGGCGATTTTCAGAAATCATGCCCTCCTGGGGAGAGGAATGGTCCCAAAACTGAAGCACGGTGTCCCAGGGTTGGGGAATCTGTCCCCCCCCAATACTGCTGAACCCTCAGAAGCCCCAGCCAAGAGAGACAGTGGTGCGGGACGCCGGAGTCGCAGCCCGTGACATCTGGAAACCCTCCAAAGATGGGTTTATTGAAGTGCTCCTGGGGGCCAAAATGGATCTGAGCTGAGCACGCAGGACTTTTTGAGTAAACGTTTTGTTGAGTTAAACCTGCAGCCTGACCACCCCAAAAGCAGTAGTATTGAAGAAAAACAAACCGGGGTTAAAATTAAAAAGAGGAAATCCAAAAATGGAAAACCACAAGGTGTGTCAGTGTGTTTGTGGGAGGAAAACCGCCTGCTCCTCAGGTACCTTGGCAGAGAGACGCTCAGAAAGTGTTTGGCTGTGCCATCGCAGGACAATGAGGGTTGGGGTTCAAAACACTGGGAGGATGTCCAAGTGGACATCTTACAAGAGGATGGACTCTGGTATAGGATGTCAAAGAAGCAGAGTTGTCCAACTCCTGGAGGCAACTTGGTTGCAAGACTTCCATCCCTTCATGGAAGATACTTTCTCTAGATTACAGGTAGTCTTTGCTTACTGACCACTCATTCAGTGACCATTTGAAGTTGCGATGGCACCGAATGAGTGATACTTATGACCGCTCCTTGAAATTCCGGCTGTTGCACCACCCCCATGGTCATATGATCGCAATCTGGGCATTTGGCAACCAGCTTGCATTTACAACAGTTGCAGCACCCCACGGTCACGATTGCCATTGGCAACCTTCCCACAAGCAAAGTCAATGGGGAAGCTGGCAGGGAAGGTTGCAAGTCGCTCTGGTAAGGCCCCCTGGTCTCCCTGCACTTGCACGGTGCCCTGCTTCCCCCAGCCTCCCTTCACTCGCACCCACCCTGTGCTGGGCTTCCCAGGGCCTCTCCCACCCCTCCGCAGCACTGGGGATTAATTTCCCTCAACTCAGGCCCATGTAGACTACAGTCCTACACTGTCTGCAAGAGGACCTATCTGGAATAACTATTGCGTTGATGGTCCTTGCAAAATGGCGTAGAAAACAGAATGAGAGGAGGAGGAAAGGAAGTGTCTGAGGGAATAAAAAAACAGCAAGTCATCTTATTATAGGAGCTGTTAGACATGAAGGTTCAGGGCGAAGGGAAGCCAAAGGGTTGTCTCAGGAAAAAGAGACCTTACCTTCAGGTACTGGCGTGATGTTGGTCACCTTGAGGTTCAGGTTCGACAGGGGTGCCGCGCAAATGTCCTTCCCCAGCAGCTGCACAAAAGGCAGGATGAATGTGATTTCGTACTTGTGCATGATCTTCAGGAACCCAACCTAATGGGAGAGGCACAACGGGAAAAGCAACGTCACGAAGCTCAGAGAAGCCAAATCCAAAACTCTGGTTGTGGTTATGCACTTAAGACTGGAAGAACTGGTGCCACCGAGCCTGCTGAAAGAAGGCAGTCCCCATCAAATTATTCAACATGATCGAAATAAAAAGGGAAAGCAAGGGGCTCTGAACAGATCATCCCCAAACTGGGAAAACGGGCTTTGAAAGGACAAATGCAAATCCGTTCATGGAAGTATAAAACGATGCACATTTGGGAGGAACGCTTCATCTCACGCAGATACGGGTATCTTTGGGTGACTGATCCCAAAAGGGCTCTTGGGGTTCTCATGCAGCTCTCTGAAAATGTCGACCTGGTTGTGTGGAAATGGTTAGCTTTGGGCTAAGGATCCCAAAGGGAATGGATCAAAAACAGCAAGGCCAAGGATCAAAGGGCTGTACGTAAAGGTCTCTTGTGGCCACATTTGGAATACAGTGTGCCCTTTCTCAAAGAGGAGAACTGGAAGAGGGACAGAAAAGGGCAACCACAACAGTGATGGGGACACAGCTCCCGTGAAGAATAGCTGCAGTGCCTGGGGAAGCATTGAACAAGGACAGAGCGACTGCCTCCAGGGCCAGGAGCAACCTGTCTCCTCAACAAGGTCCCTGGAGAGAACTGCTCCAACGGTGCGGCATCTTGCCCTAATCCTGCTTGGCCAGACTAAATGGGGCAGTCAGAGGTCTAACCCAGCCCAGCCCTTCTTCACTTGATTCTACTTCTTGCTCACATTTTCCTCCTGGGCCCCAGAATTTGGCAACTCTTATCAAGATGTTTCTTCAGTCGGTACAGTGACACATGGAGGAGGCGCAAGTCTTTTCTTGAATTTATTCTATTTATCTAGTGTTTTCTTTTCCTCTTTCTGTTTCTGGTGAAAGATTGCTGGCTGATATACAGCTTGCAGAATAACCGAGGGAGGGGAATGCAGGGAGGCCCTCCAGGGAGAACACTGTGTCTCTCTCCGCAGAATATTCCAAGGGGGCAGTTGCATCTTGTCTGAAGTCATCGGAGGCTAAAATATTTTGCACAGCCCTTTGAGGTGGGCCAGATCAGGAAACAGCCACTGCAAGGACTCCAGGGATGCTACTTTATTGCTGTAGGGTATAACAACAGAAACTTGAAAGCCTGGCAGTTCCTCTCTACTCCGTCTTATGCCAAACAAAATCAAGGCAGGGTTCTTGAGAGTTTCTTTCTCATGCTTTCCCCTTTCCCAGGACTAGGTTCCTGCTTCTCCTCCCTTAACGGCTCTTGTGTTCCTCTGCTGGTGCTTACATCCCATCTAGCCTTGCAGTGCAAAGCTGACTTCATCAGATCATGCTTTCCATGCGACCCTCCCTGCCCCAAAGGGGCCCGTCCAGAACAGATCACAAGAACAGTCAGAAATCTCTTGCAGATTCCTGAAAGGCTGAAGAGAACCAACCAACCAACCAAACCATGAAGGTATGCCAGACTGGTGATACCAAAAGAAGCTTCTGGGCATCTGCTCAAGATGACGACAAGAACCCTGAAAATGTCCAGAAGTGGCGATGACGTTCCCTGCCCCCCCAACCACAGACACCTACGAAGAGCCTCCTTCCTCAAACGCAGCACCCTGTTGGCCACAGGAATTCGAGGGACCCCCCTCCTTTTCATAACCATGACAGCACAAGCGATTCTGTGCAAAGAGGAGCCAAACAGTGCAGCCTTTGGCAATGACCTAAGAATCTGACCCTTTTCTTGGAAAGCACCTCAGTCAACAGTCTCAGGGGCTGAGTGGGTCAGAAGCACAATAAATAAGTAACAGGTAAATGAATGTAGAGTGTTAAGCATGCTAGACCAGTGCTTTTCAACCTTGGCAACTTTAACATGTGTGGACTTCAACTCCCAGAATTCCCTAGCCAGCACAAAACTGTAGGATCTCTCTCTTTCTTCCCTCACAACTTTGCTTCCAGGTACTGACTATAAAATACTTAAAATGCAGGCTGAAAGACCAGAAATCCATTATTTCTCATAAAAAAAGGGGAAAGAAAACAGCATCAAGGACACACACAAAGAGCACTGATAAACGAGGAGATGAATAGAAAATATACTGAAATGCAGTTGAAGTTGAAAGCATTTTTTAAAACCATTTTGTGGTTAGATAAGAATATAACAGGACTTACGATTATATAGCAGAATGTTTGGTGCTGGAAAAAGGAAGACTCCCTTATCTAACAATCTTTTTATAGAATATTATTCTTCTATTTATACATGTAATAACCTTGAAAATGCTAACTACTCCTAAATAATGAAGTCTAAACTCCCCAATCAATTGATGAATAGAGAAATTATCTTCAGCAATGATAGAAGATGAAACGTCACAGCCAGTTTAATAATCTGTTATGAGTACTGCACATTCTTTAAAAAAATGAATACCACTACCTGTATATTAAGATACTTACAGGCTCACAAGCTTGAATTTGAAATAAATGAAGTTTCTTGTGATTTCTAAACCACGTAAGGACATCAACAGATGTCATTGTAGAGGCCCTATTGCTCTGATCAGTCAAAATGGAAAAAGAAGAGCTACTGTTTTCCTGATTAACAGACTAAACAAGTGTTGAAGTAGTTAGATATCCCTGGATACACCTGGGTTTCTCCCTACAGGAAATACAGTCAATTCAGTTAAAACGATATACTGCATTATATCACGCTAAGCAAAATAACGTTGGACTTGCACTGCTGACTTTGGATGTCTTTGAAGCATTTCAAGGCAGATTTCTCAAAAGTTTGCTACTGGAAATGGAACTTGGACATGACTTCACTGCGATCATCAGTCTGATGTCCCCCAGCTTAAGCACTGATCGGTATTAACAGTGCAGACACGCAGTCCTTTCAAATCAAGCAAGGCCATAAACCCAGATGCCACTTCCCCTGAACGTGTTTAATCACATTACCGAAGGACAGATGCACACGTATTAGGAGAAATCCGACTCCTTAAAGACTTAATTTTAAATAGGTTATTGTGTCATAAATCTGCATGCAAATCTGGTTGTTTTTCTTCAAAATCCGATGGATGGATGGATAGATGAATGAGAGAAAGAAAGAAAGAAAGAAAGAAAGAAAGAAAGAAAG